TCGTCGTCTCGTGGCGGCTGGGAATTGCCGTACCGAACCGGATGTGAATTAGAGTTTATTTCGCGAGTAATTATGTGTAATATTGCGCATTCTGTTCGCTTGACGCTTCAATATGGGGTGGACGCGTCTAAGAAGCGTCCGATTCAAATTGGGTTTTCATTCCGTTTTCCATAAATCAGTCCCCAGCACACACACAGACGGACGTCGCGTCGTACGGCCTGCAATGCATCGCATGAGCATAAATTTTGTCGAACTGGACTTTATTTGTGTGGATACTGTAGCTTGGTGACGGGTAGATGCTGCGTATGGCTAACCAGGTGCAGAGGGGATATCGACATTTCTCAGCTTCTGTCAATTTGATCCGGGATACAGGTGGGGCATCCATGAAGTCTGTTCGGGTACAGGCTCCCCCAAACAGGTAGGGCCTTCAAGGATAGAAGTGAACGGTAAGAGTTGTTCCGAAGACACCTCAAATGTAAAAATTAAAGACCAAAAAATCAAAATTACGTCATCAGCATGTTACTTCAAAAGTATTTTACTTTCTATCATCCTACCTTCTTTTGTTCTCGAAGTGGAACCGGTTGAAGGGCCATGACATCATCCCCATCATAGCCTTACCTTGAAAAATCTCTGTGAAGTCGATTTGGGAGTTGCAACTATGATATTTACGATAATTGCCTCGGGCCAACATTGCATGTACCACCCATCACCGACCACTCGTGTTTCACTCCCTGTTTCAAGCACGGCTACCTATTCTTGGCACCCATAACCATGGGTTGCCTGGGTCTGGGAGAGTGTTCTCTGAGTTTCGGTTCCGTCGATACTTTTTTGTCGATTCTTCTTCATTAGTGGTCGAGAACCTTCCTTTACACTTCCAACTATCTCCGAAACCTATCAGCTCATTATAAGCTCATACTTCAGGGTGGTAAAGTGTGAACCCAAATGTTGTGAAGATTTGCATAATTTTATGTCGATACGACGCGAGCCCCCAGTAGTGTTGTGGCAACGAGCGACGACCATAAATCTCCTGAAGCAGATCGCGAATTCGCGCAGATGAAAGAGGCCGCAACGGGCTGCGTGCGTTACGCGACCTGCCACCTGACCACTGACGTCGCACCCAGCCAGCCACCAGCATACTGTAGCCCCACACCAGACGTCAATCGAGGCAACCAGTCAACCAGCCGGTCACGTAGCCCCCTTGATTTAACCTTTTCGCAACATTACTCATACTCTTGAATCTACTTTTCCATGACCACTTCAAGTCCATTCGTTTCAGGTTCGAAATCAGGGGAATCCAAACGCACGCGTCAAACGTATTCACGAAATCAGACATTGGAACTTGAAAAGGAATTCCACTACAACAAATATTTGACAAGGAAACGACGACAGGAAATTTCTGAAAGTCTGCAGCTCACCGAAAGACAGGTACCGTAGCCTTTTTTCTAACCTAACGTCTCATTTATTTGTGCTCCATTTCTCTAGCTCATTCCACCTTTGACAAAGCCCTTGTCGTTCGTCAACACCACACCACTCACCCATCTACCCACGCCACCCTTCATATTGATCTACCCACGACGATGTCTACCGTAATCCATGGGGGACGTAAAGATGAAAGACGCCGTTATTTCGCTCTCTTTGTCACTATTTCGATTTCCCGCAAAGGCGACAATGACGGGGTTTTTCGTTAGGACGTCGCTGGCCGTTCCTCAAAGTGAAAAGTGATGCGGCAAAGAAGATTATTGATTGGAGATGGGCTATTAAATCGTTGTCGAAATGAACCTGTGAAAAGTGGGCCCCTTTCTAATGGCATTTTATGGGTCTCCCTCTCATCGAGGATTCGTACTCAGCTTTGGCAAGGGTGGGAAACTATTCTCGAAAGACTCTGGCATGCACGTATAGAAGTAGTCACATTGTTGTGAAAGCATAAGAATGGCTGGGGCATAACTATGGGCACATGGCGTTTGACATTTGCTCAAAAAGTGTTGATGAGAGCCTTATGCTAACAAAAAATGTAGTGACTAACCTTCGTAGGAGGAGAATTCAACGGAGGGTAACGGGATAGCCATTTTTTTGACTCCAGTAACACGAATGATAGTAGTCCCTGTAACTAGAGAAAATCTAATCATAGAAGTAGTCTAAGACGAGATCCTTTCGCTTTAGGATCCACCTACCGTTACATCACATCTTCCGGTCAACCCGGACAAGTTGTCTTTCATTACCGCATCCCCTGGTCATCTGAGGAAACTTGTATACACTTATCCCCTGAAGTTCCTTTGTACCATCTTATGGAGGCCACCAGATTAAGGGGCCTTAGATGGGATGCCTTAGCGACGAATCAGCACTTTGCATGGAGATTTTATGGTTTTCCCCAGTCCCTCAAAACAGGGCTAGTTCCGAGTGACCAGGGGCTAGATTTCCATCTGGATCGTATTTGTTTCCGGTTCTGGACCCTCTTCTTATGAACCACTAATCTGGTGAAAACATCTAAAGAAGGGGAGAAAAGGAGATTTCAATGAGGAACCTTTTTAGATTAGATCCCCTCTATGTGTTAAGGTTGGCACAATCAAAGTGCACAGTCCTTTTTTAAATGACCTCATGGGGAGCGCTCAGGGTCACAGCAACTTTGTAGAAGAATGAACACACCTAGGCATCATTACTCAGGTGTACTCAGCTTGAAATACCACTTTAGACAGCGGGTGACCAAAAACGTTCTTGAACGTCGGTAACAGGGCTCGAACCCAGTCGAGGAAGTCGTGGACATACTGACTACAAGGAAAAAGCTATAGAAAATTAGCAAGTGAGAAAACCCCCACCCAAAAGTGATCAGTAGTTGAGAGTGATTGACCTTCTCGAATCATGTTTTTGATATAATCATACATGATTCTTGAGTACAGTAGGTTCAACTACCGTAATTTAACAGATATAATAAAGTTGAAAAGTTTGATGAGATTTTTCGAAACGTGTCAATCAGCATGAGTTTAAACTGGTTTGTGGGAGCATTTGACTACTTCTTACCTGACGCTGACTGGCCGAGGTTGAACCCAATGCCAGGCTACCTCCCACCGATCTGCTGTACAATAAGTTCAAGAGATCAAGAGCTCCTTAGGTTGGATAGTTCTGCTGTAGCATATCCAATTGGATGGAAATCCGAAAAACATACAGTGAAGGTCAAAAAAACGCTATATGGTGAATATATATCTACAAAGTCGCACTTTCAAGTATATTGAACCACATCCTTACAGACACCACTGCCAGTAAAACTCTTATGTCAATGAAATCCTACTCGACCGTAATTTGGAGGCCTTAGACAAACTCGCATGAAAAATTCTGAAATGGGATGTCTAAGGCGAAACGGGGCCGACCGAGAGCTATAGTGGAGTGGGATGATGGTGTTCACTCTATGGAATGGGAAATCGTGGTTCATTTGCACTCAGCTCTACGACGATTGCTCTAAACTGCGCCTTTTAGGATAATCAATGATAAACATTTGTAGATAATGATAATAGATACTGCCAGATACTTTTCTATGAACCACCTTTTCTGATTTCAGGTCAAGATATGGTTCCAAAACAGACGAATGAAGCATAAGAAAGAGAGCAAAGGCGAAGGAGCTGGTGAACATGAAAGCGACGAATCCACCCAGGACGATCAGCAGAATTCCTGAATCCGTGATGGCTGCCTGCTTCATCCCTATGTCTTCTGAGACCCCCTCCTTTTCCATCCATGGATATTGCGCCAAATATGTACGCTTTGTCTGTTTGCCATTTGCCATGTACATCT